TCCCTTGTGAATACTCACTCAAGACTTGAACGGACACTGTGCGTTTTTCTCTGGGGGTTCACCGTGGGGTTGTACACCAACTGCTCGCCCACATCGCTTTCGCTCTCGCATCTAGGCTTGATGCCGGGCTCTAAGATGCTACTGTAGAATGGCTCCAGGGTGATTGACGATTGCGTCTCGACGGCTGAGGTGTCAAACAATGCCCTTGAGGTTCTCCCAGAGTCCGTGGTGTACTTGGAGAGCCTAGGACTCTGAAACGAATTTTGTTGGAAGACGAAGCTATTGTTGACACTGGTGAGGTTCACCATGGTTCAGCCTAACTCGACTTAATGTGCCATGCAGGTCTGGAGATCTTGTATGTGCACAACAACAAGCTAAAGGAGAAGTGTAAGACCGAATCTGTAGTCAGTCATGCGATCTCCTTGATAGGGATGACAGTTGCCCTTCTATGATCTTCTATGCGGATGTTTTGTAGACCTAGCTAGCGTGTGATTTGTGGAGAAGCAACAGCTCTCTGCACGCTCCAGCAGAAGACAGCCTTTCATTTGCTGACATGTAGAGGGAGGGATACCGGGGCCCCGGTATGAGGGCATTTTTTTGCAGCAGGTGCTGCAGGCACATGCCATTTTCGATAGGTTTGTGCTGCCGCATTGACAGCACTTCAAAGGACTTGCCACCGAACATTGGCAAGTTGAGCAAGCTGAAAGAGCTCGATGTCAGGCTGGGACAGTGCTTGACATTCTTGTGTCGCAAAAGCGCTGAACCAGCCAGGCATTTGTGAACCTTCAAGCCTTCTCTCTCCTCAGCCATTTGGTACAGAGAGACAACAAGACACGAAGAAGTGCAGCAGCTGAAAAAAATCATACACAAGGTCGCCACCGGTGACAACGGTTTCCACCCGCTTCCGCTGGTTAACAGGGGCAAAGAGCCACAGCTGAGCCCCTTTTGCAAAGCTACCTCGTTTGCAAGATCTTCTGTATCACGGGCCTTGGCACCATGGAATTGCTCCCTTTGCGAAGTGGAAGGCGGCTTCAAAGTGCCCAAGAAGCAACGAAGCAACTGCATTAACTCAAGGGCATCGCTACTAGCGACTGGCATCGCTACTAGGAGCAAGGACGCTACTAGGGGCTCCTGGCCTTACTACTAGGAGCAAGAGAACGCTACGAACGGAGCAAAGGGCATCGCTACTAGGAGCAAGGACGCATCGAGATGCTCTCCGGCAGCCTCCGGCTCCCCACGACGCTCTCGAGGTCTGTCGAAGCTTTCACGCTCAATCCTGTGGTTGCTTTTGGCGCGCATAGTGAGTCTTGCTCCGCATAGGCCGCACGGGTGTGTGGATTTCGCTCTGTTTCTTAATTTTTAGCAGGGGGGTACGCCGCTATAGGAAGAGGTCGGTAAAGGCTACTAGTTAGTAGCTCTATTATTGTAAGGGCTTCGCCCGGGTGCCGCCGACCCCTTTTCAAGAGGAGTGTAGCATGTGTAACTGAAGGCGTTAGTGTCGTTCCGGTGGTTGCCCGTCTGCGGAAAGAAGATGGGTGTTCTAGCCTTAGGCGTGGCCTCGGACAGGCTAACTGTGGCCTGTGCTAAAGCCCACAAA